CCCGTTCGGCCGTCATCGCTGCTTTTCGCCGCGCTCTCGAGGAGCTCAACCGTCTGAGCACTGTCAGTACGGGAGAGGCCGCTGCACCCCTGGACATCAGCTGGCTCGATGACATCAGCCCCCACGGCTGCAATCGTCCTCAGACGCGCCACCGCAGCAGCAGAGCCAGGCCCAAGCCCATGCCGCCCTCGTCTATGTCTGAGGGCCCCAGTGACCGTCCACTTGACAATGATGACCCCATGCCGCCCCACATTCAGCGCCGGCGCCGCCACAGAGGCAGGTCCGCACGTCGTGTCAGTGAGAGGCCGATGGCCGGTCTGGGGAGTGGGGAGCCCAGCCATCGCCCGGGCAGCAGGAGTGACAGTCAGGATGAACTCATGCCGCCTCCCATTCGACCCACATCGGAGGCGCATCGCCGTCGTGAGGGCGAGGAGCTGTCACATCGACCGGGGGCCAGACGCCGTCGCGACAGGTCCGGCGGCGGGAAGGAAAGAATTGTGTCGGCGAAGCTGAGTGAAGGGGGCGGCCATGCTCTGGCAGCCAGCCTGGTGGAGCAGGCAAGGCGACAGCTGGCCGACGCAAACCAAGACGATGCCGACAGGTGGGCAGAACGATGTACTCTGATGGAATGGGCCCCTGATTTCCCTTCATGATGTGTGCTACACTCAGTGTCGGTCTCGAGTGGCGCGGCGAGGAGGGCAGCTTTGTGGCTTACCGACCAGACGGCGGAGAGGGGCCCGAGCAGCGTGTCTTCATGTGCCTGACGTGACCTCATCCCGGCTCATCCTGCGTGCCTTCGCCCAAGCGGCGCACCACCGCAACGCCACGGCTGGCGACGGTGCAATCATGGTCGACGTGCGGCGGATCAATCTGCAGCCACAGCCGACGGACAAGCATGCTGTCGACAAAGGCACGAGTGCTGGTGCAGCCTCCAAGGGTCCGACGTATCACGACGGTGGCGAGGCGGATGTGTGTGGTGTTGGTGGCGATGACGACATGGATTGGGCTGATGACGTGTCCTCGCGTGACGGACAGCCGAGCTGCAAGGCCGGCAAGGCTAACACCGTCAGCCGCAAACGTGCCGAGCACCAGTCAGCCGTGCAGGGCGTCCACTGGTGTGAGCGGGGTCAGTACTGGCAAGCAAGCTGGTATAGCAAGAACGACGGCAAGCGGGAGAACAAGTACTTCTACGTCAAGGAGCATGGCTTCCACAAAGCGAAGGTACCGACATCGCATCGCAGCACCGCACCTCCATCTCACTCTCCGTTTCCCCAAATGTATGGATCAGGCGTTGGCCGAGCAGCATCGTCTCGAGATGGAGCGCAGCGGCCAGGCGTCGGTGAGGAAGCGATGTGAGCACCAGAGCGGCGTCAGGGGTGTCAGCTACAACAAGAGCGGCAACTCATGGGTGGCCAGCTGGCAGGTGGGGGGCAGGAAGAAGACCAAGCACTTCTCCGTGGCTGAGCTCGGCTACGAGGAGGCCAAACAGGCGGCCATCGCACACAGACGGGAGATGGAGCAGCGGCACCACACGTCAGAGGGCGGGGCGACGAGCGATGAGGGCCGTTCCTGCAGCCCTCCCAATGATGATGGTGCGATTCACTCGCCGTGCCGCCACGGGCCCCCCAGCTGCGGGCCAGGTGTGGGTGTGATGGAGGGCGGCGACCTGGCCGCTGCCCTCGTCGAGGTCCTCAGCAGCGACGGGTAAGGAAAGACAAGGGAAGACAAGAAAGGGCCAGATTTGTCACGTGTGTGCATATGTGTGTGGGATGGTTTCTTTCGCGCAGGTCATGCGAGCTGTGTTGGCAGGACGGCAGCTTCCGTGTCCGTCTG